GATAAGATCACATGATGCTACAACACGATAAGATCACATGACACTACAACACAATATGATCACGTGACACTACAACACGATAAGATCACGTGACACTACAACACAATAAGATCACAATGCTACAACACGATAAGATCACGTGACACTACAACACAATAAGATCACAATGCTACAACACGATAAGATCACGTGATGCCACAACATGATAACATCATGTAATGCCACAACACTTTAAGATCACGTAACGCTACAACACAATACGGTAAGATCATGTGATGGGAGAAGGTTGGAGTAGGATGGGGCAGGATAGGGTAGGTAGGGGTAAGAGGGTAAAATGGGGCGGGTTGGGGCTAGCATATTATTGTATGTTTACGCCCTAGCTTGAGGTGGCAGAGGCCTCTGAGGCTCTTTGAATGGATGGATGTACATACGAGTGCACTGAAAGCAGGGGGGTAGTGGAGGTGGGGGGGTCTCAAGACAAGAGGGCCAGACAGCACAGCCCCAGGACAAATTGCCCCCACCCAAAACAAAGTCGGTCACTGCACTGTGCTTTGTGATGGCGAAGCAAGGCCAAGGAGGGGAGGGAGTCCTGACCGTGTGCATCATGGAGGGTGGGGGTGGCACCCTCTACCCTCCTTCCAGGGCATCTCGTCTGTCTCGGGGGGTGGGGGTGTTACTGTGACTGTCCGAGGCCTTTGTCCTGTAAATGAGTTTGCTTGATGCGGGCTGACAGAACTGGGGAGACGTGCCCCGGGGCCAAAACCAACGCAGGAAATAAAACGTGAACGCGTCTCGCTGACGACCTGTCACAACTAAAACCCAAGAAGAAGAACTCACCTCCCGCTAACGAAGCTAAGTGCTCACGGTTAACGGGACAGTCCCGTGAAGTTTACGTGACGTTACAGAACCTATCGGTTCAAACGTCAGGCGTGCAGCTCAGAGGACGACCGCAGGAGGCAAAAGTCTTCATCCAGGCCGAGCTCAGAGCAGGGCTTCAAGTCTAGACTAAACGATCTCTGACTTTTGGAACAATAGATTTGATAAACGTTTGCTTCAACTATAAAAACAGGACCGTAAAAATACCGGACTCTGTTTAGTTTTGATACTTTTTTTTTTATATAAATGACACACGGCTGCTGCAATGCACTCTGGGTAACTGACGTTGACAGGTTGCTCCAGCTTGAAGGTTAGTTTTGGACGTTAAGATCTTTAGTTAGAACCGAAGCATGGACAAAGATCAGAACATAGCTGAAGATGATGAGAGAGATGATGCTGCATGGAGCTCCGCAGTCCATCACGAGCTCCTCACTAGTACCGGATCAGAACCAGTTAGCCCGTTAGCTTCAGAACTAATTTACTAAGCACGACAAGTTGACCGCTGGTCGTTTCCGCCAAGACACCGTGCATCACGTCGTCTCCAACGCTTTGGCCTCGACTCCTCGTTCGGTATCCACGACAACCAATGTACTCATCCTCCCAGAATGCATTTCACCGGTAAAATGGCAACAACAATGTAATAAACATAAACAACGTTTAAAGAAGTTAGGAGTCACGAACAACAAGTTTGAGCAGAATTGTAAATAATATTTTAAAGCCTTTTTTTTTTTTTATGAATTTGTTGTGACGTCAGCAGGAAGTGTTTTGTTTACATCCAGCGCCTTCCCGCCTTCAGGGCTGCACATCCACAGCTGTTAGGAACGGTTCGGTCCGGTCCGGATCAGTGGTTCTGCTTCAACAGTCCCCCATTCACAAACCCCTGACGCAGAGTTACCACCGCCCATCGAACCGTTCACCCGAACCCACAGAACCGCACAGGCCCGAACCGCCGCTTCACCGACACAACGGAGAGCAGAACTTTTTAATGTTTACGAGCCCAAAGGTTCGGACCAGTTCTAAAAATAGCCCAAGCAACAATCGGGATATTAAACACCGCCCGCCCGCCGGCCCCCCCTTCACACAGACGGAGTTCCCGCCCGCAGCGGAGCAACAAACCGAACCGAAATCTGCACTTTGGCGAAATTCAGGACGTGAAATCACTCTTACCGCCTTCCACTGAGGTTCGGGCTCGGTTCGGAGGCGAACGCAAGGCGTAAAGTTCATCCGGAC